GTGATGTCATTAAATATATTATAGGTTCAAATTGTTTTGTAATCTAGGATAATCTTTTATTCATAAAAACTATATGCTATTTATTGCAAAGGGTATTTATTCATATAATTCTGCATTTCAGAATAGTCTATAGCTAAATCACTTTTGTCTAGTAATTTTTAATTGTTTGTTGATTTTTCTTTCTTTTATTTGCTTTGCATATTTTCTTTTGTTTCTTAATAGAGCATATTATGATATTATATGCTTTATATCTAATTATTGTTTTTATCTTAGATTTTTTAATATCTTGCTAATATATTTTATAAATTGTATTCTTATCTATTTTATAGTATTTAAATAATTTGTTAAACCCTTCCTCATAATTTTAATTTGTATTTTGAAAAAGTTCATATTTTACAGGATCTGAATTCAAAAAAGCATCTAAAGGAGAGTCTAAAAGTTTCTATAATACTAGCTTTCATGATTGCAAAATTCAATCATTAGTAATAGAAAACTTTTTATCAACATATTTATCCAAAAACAATATTAAGTACTCTCTTTCTGATTGAATTGTTGATATTTGCAATTTTAATTTATTATCTATTTTTAATACTTTTTTATATTTTGTTTTATATATATTATACTGAATCTTTCTAATACCTCATTGAAAGCAAAATAATAACCAGGCTGAGTTATATTAATAATGATATCTTACTCAATAAAACTCTTAATAGCCTATCTTTGTATATGCAGCTAAGAAAAAAGTAACAGACTAAGCATAATTACTATACCCTGCTACTAGAAATAGAGTAGTAAATACTTTTAGATTTTCAAATTGCATATTCCAATTACTATACCTAATATCTATCTTATTATCTATCCAAAACTCAGTTTAACAGAAAAACAAATACTAAACCTTTACAATATTATTATTATCTGATAAAATATCATTTATTGTTTTATTATAGTTTTTAACATATTTATAAAATATAATTCCTACTTCTGCTCATAGTAATATTACTACTTTTGATACTACTTAATAGTCAACTACCTTTTCAAACTTATTAACATAACATATACCAAGAATTGATACTAAATTAAAAATTTCATATTTTTAAAATATTGAAATAAGTTTTATATATATATTTTTGCTAGTATACTAGCTGCCTAACAAAAAACAGAATTTGTATGAGTTTCATTTAAAGAGACTAAATATTTAAAAATTGCTTCATCAGTGACTAAATAAATATTTTTATTATAATTAATGCTAATATCATCTATATACATGTATACTGTATTATAAATATCTTCTGTTTTGTTTAAATTATCTCTTAGCCTTAATATTATAATATTCAGTACCAGAAGATAACAATCAGATTTGATTCTATTTTTATATTCTTTAATAATATCTTTTATATCAAAATCCAAACCTCTTTCATTAAAAAAATTACTAAATAAATTAATACAATATAATAATTTATTTTCTAAATATAAAGAACTATTAACTTCAAAATTTGAATTAGTATTAATACTAAAAATATTGTTAGAAAGTACTTTAGGTATAGATTTTGGAAATTTAAATTGAATTACTATTCTTAAAATACAATATATTATTTTTTTTATAATATCAAATATATTATTATATAAAAATATTTTATCTTTAAGATCTAAATTATCTATAATACACATATTTAGAATATCATTGCTCTTCCATAATTTTTTACAAGGATCTGTTTTCTTTTGTCTTATCTTTTTTAATTATTTCTTATATCTAGAAGTATAAGATATGATGTTTGCAGTATATAAAACAGTATATAACAATAAGTGATAATATGATTTTTGGCATAATAAACTTAATATATATGTTAACTATATATTAATACTCAGAAATATAATATTTAACAAAACAGAAATTATAAATAATAAGATTTTTTTACCTCTTATTAGATCATACTTAGTTGTTACAATTCCATGCTATTACTATTTTTTATGTATAATGATTCACTTTTAATTTTGTATATAATTAAGTATTCTATTAAAAAATATCTTATAAGTAACAGAAAGCTATTTTTATATTCTTGAATTAATAATAGATTTTCTAAATTGTAGAATTTTTCTTTTATATCATGTTTTGATTTCTATACTAAATATTCAAATACTCTACTAAATTGTTTAGATTGTTTTTTAATAAGTTTACTAATTTGTTCTTGACTATTAAGTTTATTTATATTTATATTTTGAAGATACATGATTATTTTTAAAAGTATTTAACTTAATAGTTTGATACTATTATTGTTATTAACATGATTAAACAAATTTGATCTGAATGTATTGACAAGAGCCTTTGTTATTTCAGACAATAATTTACCTTTTATACTATTATTACTAGTATTTGTGATACTAAGTAACTATTTTCTAATTAATTCTAATGACTTTGAATTATCTTCAATATAATAATCAGTATATGATTTAGGCTAATTATTTCTTCCACTTCTTTGTCACTAATAAAAATGACCTCCTTCTTATAGAAAGTATTCAGAACAAATAAAACTGTATTTTATATTATTTGTTGTTTCTTTTACTAACAAATTATTATTGAATATGAAATAGTTTTTTAAATCTATACATAGTAAATATATATTTTACTCTTGTATAGTCTGTGAATATGTTTCATATCTTCTACCTCTACTAAAAAAATATCTATTACTATTGCAAAAAAGATATCAATATTTGTAAATTAATAATCTTTCAACTAGTAAATCCTTTTTTGCATTAGATTTATGCAAACTATCTTGATCAAAATTAAAATACAATTGATATATACTGAGGGTTTCTAATATCTTTATTTTGTTCTGTTTGATAATAGAATCAACAGTCTGAGAATTTAACTCTCAGATACTTACTAATTGCTTTAATAGCTGATATCTTGAATTTGAGTATTATTGTATCTTTTTGTCTTTAAGATCTAAAACAATATATTATTTCAAAAATTTACTTATTTTATTGTAATTACTAATTTCTATATCCAATTCTTTCTGTTATTGCTGCTCTTTCTATTACTTTTCTTCACTCTCTAACTACTGTTACTATATTACTTTCTACTTCTAATATCTCTACTATTATTCTATCTATATGATTTTCTAATCTTATAACTGATTTGCTACCTATTTCTTTACCATATTCCTTGGTTACTATTCCAACTAGTCTATATATTACCAATAAAAGAAACTTATTAATTTTAAAAAAATTACTATTTAACTTGTAAATTTTTTTTTTTTGGCAAATTACTATGTTTTATTAAGATGAAAACTAAGCAACTCCACTTTTTTAATAAAGTTACTGATTTATAAGCAAATTGGTTGCTTATTTCCAGTAATATACAGTATTCATAATTTAATTTCAAAGTAAAATATGTCACACTTTGAAGAAATTGGATGACTTGCTCGGATTATAACAGCATTACTATTATCAGTATAATTAAAATTTTTTTTTAATAATTTGTTAAATACCAAAGATAAACGCTCATAAATAGAGTAACTTTATTTATTTAAATAGAAATATTAATATATTTCTAAGAGAGTTTTATTTTTAGAACCTGAATAGAATTTGAAGTTTTAGAATCGATAACTTCATATTTTACCGACTGCGTGGATATTATAGATAAATCATAATTATTTACATAGATTCAAATGGGCATAAAAGTGAATTGCATGGGTAAGATTTTATTAAACGATTAATGAGCCGAATAAATCTGTAAAAGCAATTTATAGCGACAGAATTATTAATTAAATTTTATGTGTTGTGTGCATTATCTGATTCATCTTTAGTTCTAGCTAAAGCAGTGTTTGGATTCGGACACAATTCGGATAATGCACTTTTTATCATCCGTTAGCATTTTGTATGAATTCGAATATCTGATCTAGCTATCCGGATAATATCTGGAAAATATCTGGGACACTAAGCATAATTTTAGGCAACGTCAGGCAATAGAAACAAATAGATAAATGGCTAGTGATGTATCTTCTGCAAACCCAATAGATGCTGGAAACGATCCAAAATATTTGAATAAAAAAATTAAAGAATACTAGCTAACTACATTATACAGTATCAAAATTATCTGAGAAGTTTAATAAGTTTGCTATGACTTTATTAATAAATGTGGAATTCTAACGTGAGTGAATTTTTGGTAAATTTTATTATCTGGCCCGATCTTGGTTTCACACTAACTGGTGTTTAAATTTTGGTCACCACCGATATTCAAATTTAATAGACAATCAATCAAAATGTTCTATGCAATCACATGAATTGTATCGACCAATGAAATCGGCCCATATACTTTACACACCTCTATTATCAAAGCACAAATATTGATGTTAACCAATTTATTAACCATTAACTTTACGATGATCAAATAAAATTTCAAGACTTAATTTGAACCTTTTTAAGCTGGAACTTATTCTCAAATCAGACTTCCAATACTGACCAAAACTATATAATTATTACTGTCTAATTAATTTATTTGAAGTGAGATCTCGCTCTTATGAAATAGATTATGCAAAGGATGACGCATAAAGATTATTAATATCTATATATAGATTTTTATTATAGTAACTGTATCGGTATGCTGTAAAAGTGTTTCATAATAGGTAACTAACGAGTAATAATCAAAAATTAAAAGTTTAAATTTATCACCTTATTGGATTCAGCTCTCGAAAAATATTTAGGACCAATCTGTAACGGTAAGATAATTTAAAACTAGAATTCTGGTTTCCTTTGGCGTAATTTATTATACTGCATGTACATTTCGAGCGTTAACCGTATTACGTTATCAGCTGAAAGTCACATGAAGTTTCAAGATTTTCATCAGGTTTCTAAATAATGATAAATTATGCATAGTGTAAAGACCCTTACAGCGATTGTGTGTTATCGTTATAAATGGTTTACTATTTGTTTTTCTGATTTTAAAAGAAAAAAATTTTTGATAAGTAATTCACAAAAATATTTTAAACTTTACAAATGTATTATAACCATGCGTCAATTCGACTTATTTCATTACCATCTATTTGTTTGGTTTGCTTAATAATGTTATTTATCAGTCCGCTGGTTTTGGGTGGAGCTTTGGGTGTTTGGTGTGTCTACGAAACGCTCTTGCCTTTAAGATTATTTTGGAAAACTATATCAGAGTACTGGTGATTATAATTAAGCATACATTTGAATATTACGAAATTTTGGTAACATTTCTTCTAACAACTTTTGTCATCTTAGCTTTCTCCCGTTTAGACAATTTCAGAAACCCCTTTCTCATAATATTAACATTTCAATAATAAGAAATGTTGAAATTCAACAATACCCAAGAGACTCATATCTTAATAGTTTCCAGATTATAAAACCAAATTTGAACGGTTCTTATACAAGATTTTCGGGGTATGCAGCCGCAGCTGCATAAAAATTTTAATATTTCGATATTTTGTACATACTTAGTAATATATATAAGTATAATATATGTTAATCTAGGGATTAAATATCAAAAAAAAAAAAAAAATTCTACGTATCTGTAGATAAATTTTATGACTTATAATTAGCGTAGGATGTGGGAATTATTAAAGGTTAGTGATCTGAGATATAATCCAGACATACCTTATAAATTTAAATAAAAAATAATAATAATAATGTATTGAACATTAATTAAATATCTGAGATGAAATCTGACATTTAATGTCATCATATAATAAAAATATTTTATAAATAATTGTATTAAATTATACGATATTTTCTATTTATATTTAATACGAGATTTTACTTATTTATTCGTCATATTAACATACAGTACGTAGCAAAGAATATGAATATCAGATATAACACTTGTTCTATCATACATGCCACTCTTTATAGTGAAGTGGTCCACTCCATTTAAATTTTTTTTTAAAAAATTCATTATAGCAAATTTAATTATCAGTTATCATAATAAGTCAACTAAAGTATATAAAAAATTTTTATAGACTAATTTGAGCTTAACTTTCTATCAAGTTTCCATTAATCATCCTTATATAGAGAGTTCAGTATAACAATAGCAAGATTTGCTGTAAAGATAACGATCTTTGAAAAGAGGCATATCGCAAGGTCGTTTAAATTCCGAGAATAATCAGACAATTATCGAGACTTTATCTACAAGAATTTTAACAATCCATGTGGTTCCAATTAGATACTCGTTTTGTGAAAACATAATACGATAACGTGAGAAGCTTCTATTGTGAAAATAGACAATCGATGCGGTTTGCAAAAAGGATCAAATTTGTAGATCTGGTAGATCTGTTTCACATGAAAATCAGTGCAAGTGAAAACTAGGAATTCTAAAAATAGATTATTGACAAAAATACCGATACACCCTCATGGAAGGACGTTCGTCTGATTGGTTGATGCAAATCAATTGCCCGAGTAACTTATTTATACACTTTAAAGTACTTTTTGAGAACGTAACGTTTCACTAATAAAAAATCATCGCAAAAGCTATTTATAACTTCGAAGCAACGTCAGTATTCACTGTGCAAAATAATCTCTAAAAGATCTTACTCCTCGCATACTTTCCTTAGAAGCGAATATTTTTATTATATACTTGCTAGTACTAGTTATATTAACTATATGTAAATTTTAAATGCCAAAAATGAACAACATAAAAAAGAAGATTGAGATGTTATATGGAAGCTTTAAACTTAAAGATCTTTGAGTATACTGTTTAACATACTATATATTATAATAACAATAGTTTTATACTAATACTTACTGTATATTTTACGTATTCTGAATATTATATAGAATTATATAAGAGTAGTAAATATTACTTTGGGTTAAGTAGTAGATCGATAATATGTATATTATTGTTTCATTAATTACAGTATATTGAATTTTTGATCAGTTTGATATAGATTTATTAGTAATAAATATCAATTTACATTATTTCTAAAATGTAGCATTCTTTTTTGTGTGTATGTATGTATGTATTAGTTTGCAAACTTTTCTATGTGAAATTCTAAACGATCGATCTTAAAAATTATGCATTTTAATTAGCTAATTATCAGATAGATCTACTAATCTGACGAATAGGGTTGTTAATGGAGTGGAGTGAAGTGGGTTGGGTTAAAATTAAATGGAGCAAGCCTTACTCCAACCCAACCTAAGTTATGCCTCAAATCAATACTCTGGGTTATACTCCGGGTTATACTCCAGGTTATACTCCAGGTTATACTCCGGGTTATACTCTGGGTTATACTCCAGGTTATACTCCAGGTTATACTCCAGGTTATACTTCGGGTTATACTTCAGATTATACTCCGGGTTATACTTCAGGTTATACTCCGAGTTATATACTAATGATCATAATGACATCAAGTATCACAATCAATGATGATATTAATAGAATAGCGATAGAATCAAATGCTCTTTTTTTATTTTCCCAGATCTTCGTTATGCTATCTAAAGCAACTATAAAAAAATTTCTACACAACTAGCCTCTGAAGTTTCAGCTTCGATTACATTGGCTCTTCCTCTAAATGATTTTACTAATTTAAATCTTTTATTGCAATAACAGCAGAATAAATTTATGGAGTCATTGGCGAAGTTGCTTTACAGCAACAAGAGGTAGAATTTTTTATTTTATTTTATTTTTTTTTTGCGAATATTAATATTACGAGAAATAGAGAAAAATAATGACTGACAGGCAAAAAAAGAACAAAAAAACTTTTTCTAAACTTTTTTAGTAAAAATCAAGCCAGCGAAAAGTAAAAATAAGGGTTAATAGTTAATATTAATATATATTTATTATGACGAAAATGTTTTTGAAATGAGTTATAGTCTTCATTTTTCATTAGATATGGGAAAACGTCTACCCAAAACCTATTAGTTTTGGGCCTTCCTTGCTGAGGAGCTTTTAAATTTAGATAAGCGAAGAATAGAATAATAGTATTCATTACAGTTTGGTTAAATGTTAAAGATGTGAGATCTTTGCTAGGAAAATCACCCTTCGGCATTTTCCGATCAGGATAATTCGAACAAACTTTGATCTATATACCAGTTCTTATTTGTACGTAAATTATCTTTGCCTTTATTGATTCAAAAGTTTATTCAATAATCTTAAGTTAATAAAGAAAAATGATGATTTATGTGAAAATAAGAACTGGTATATAGATCAAAGTCTGTTCGAATTATCCCGTGCTGAAGAGTGATTTTCCTAGTAAAGATCCCATGTATTATTTACTACATTCATATCAAGGTATCGATTTGTTTTAAAAGCTTCTATCATTAAAAATAAAATAGCAATTTTTCTAGATCTGTCACAAATTTGTTGAAAATTCAATGTTTATTAAAAAAAAGTAAAAATAGTGCTTGAGTGACCTTTATCAATAGTAAATTTTTTGAGAAAAAAGGTGGTTTGTATTTCACTAATTTTCTCATCAAATTGGTTACTCCTTTGATTCATTTATTTAATTTCCAACTAATTAAAAATTTGCCACTGATCCATTGATTTAGGTGCTTGAGAACAACCTTAGTTGATAAATATGGCAAAATTTAGATGATTGTAAAATTAACACATCTGATTGAATAGAATTTTTAAATTTCACGATCATCCAAATATCATCATTAGCTACTATGTGATTAGCTAAGAGTCGACTTGAGTCAACTTAGAGGTAAAAGTCAGAGCAAATTGAGTCAAGTCAGTCAAGTCGCATCCCTATTTATATGTTATCTGCTGACTTTTTCATGTACTTATTTCTATACATATATTAACGTTCAATTTAGGTAATTAAATATTATCCGTATCTGATCTTTAAAGTACAGTACATGAAAATTATAGAAGAAAGATAAATCAAGCATCTATGACATCATCTGATGCCTCTGCACCTTGAGGTTTTTTTTAAAAAAAAATCAAGAATCTTCTGAGTAATTATATAAGTAAAAATTTACAGTGAAAGTATGACTAATGTATTAGTTGCGTAAGCAGCTAATACATCATTCATATTTTTATTGTAAGTTTTTGCTTATACCAAATTACCCAAACTATAACTATTACACATCATTCATCATCGTGACTAATGTCAAAGTCTAGAGCAAATTTCAAAAAAAATAGATTCAAATTTCAACATCAAGTATAAAATAATATTTAAAAACTTCATAATTGTTCTGTTTTCCGTATCTGATTTTTAAAGACAAATAAGTACAGTACCTAAAAATTATATAGATATGTAGAAGAAAGATAAATCAAGCATCTATGGCATTACCTGACATCCCTGGGTAATTGGCATCTCAAGGTTTTTTTTTTAGAAAAAAAAAAATTAAGCATCTTTTGGGTAATTTAGTATAAGAAAATTTACAGTGAAAGTGTAACTAATATATTAGTTGCGTAAGCAGCTGATACATCATTTACATTTTTACTGTAAGTTTTCATTTTCGCTTATACCAAATTACCTAAAATATAAATATTATACATATCGTGACTAATGTCAAAGTCTAGAGCCAAATTCCAAAAATGCATCATTCAAATTTCGACATAAAGTATGAGATAATATTTAAAAACTTCATAATTGTTCTGTTTTTTGTAAAAGCTTGATTATTTGCGATATTTGCATCAAGTTCTTTTTGTAGGATTATTCTAACAATACTGATACAAAAAAAATGATACTTGGGGTGTTGATTCCATTTCTGATTAAGCATAATGATAACTATGCGGTATGTATCAAGTTTTTTATATATTTGAGAACATGTTATTAAAATATAAGGTCTTAATGCGGTTTGTACAGATCAAATCACAAGTAAAATTTCTGTAAATGAAGTTATCAAGAGAAACTGTAAGTACAAATTTAAATAATATGATGGAATTTATTATTTTAGGCGCACAACTACATACAGATTTTTGCTTGTAGTATTCCTATTTTTACTTTAGAAGTACGGATATATGTATAAGTTCTTTATGATATTTCATTGTAATGCTCAAATATGTATTTAATATATAATTATCAATACCCAACGCTTAATATGTTTAATCTATCCTTTCTGTAGTTAGAAATTTAGTTGTGTATGTAATTGTATAATGTTCTAAATTTTCTTTATTGAAATAAAACTATTTTAATGATATAAATACATAATGAGATTCGTTGAGTTCTTATTTATAATTCTCCAATTTTACTATCTTGTAAAGAAATAATAGACAACTTCCTTCTTGAAAATGCATTTATTATTACACCGTCATCTTCCATAATCACAGAGCAAATTTTATTTCACTAATAAATATGTCAGAATTAGATATTCAATATGATAATTTGCGAACTGATAGTATCGAAACTGATGATGCTGATTTAGCAGAAAGTATAACAACCGAACAAACTAATGAATTAACAAATACTAGTGAAGAAACTGAACTTAACACAGTTTCACTTAATTTACGAGAGGCTTCTTGGGTTTGGGAACATTTTTCAAAAGAATATAACACTAAAAATGAACTTAAATCATTTATTTATACTATATGCCGCCTTAAATATAAGCCAACTAATACACCAGGAACTCTTACTAAACATTTATATAACAAACATAATAATCTAGTTGGTAATCGACAAAATACTCTTGATAAATTTGTAGGTAAACCATATTCAAGAACAGATCAAAAACATATACAACTTACAGATAAAATTGTAGAATTTATAGTTTGTTATTAGCTTCCTTTTTCTATTGTTGATAATCCTTACTTTATTACTATGTTAAATACATTTGATGCTCGGTATTTAATACCTTGCCGACAAACTATACGAGCTGAAATTTTAAATAAATATAATAGTATGCACAAAATAATTTTAGAAGAACTTGAAAAGCCTAAAAAAGTATTAATCACATGTGATATTTGGAGTTCTATTACAAAGCAATCATATCTCGGTGTTACAGTTCATTTTATTAATAGTGAATGGCAATTACGATATTTTTTACTTGATCTTCTTCCTCTTACTGAGCAACATACTGCTGTAAACATTCAACAAGCTATTATACAAGTGTTAGATTAAGCTAAAATTACCAATAAATTGTTAGGTATTACAACTGACAATGCAAAATCTATGATAGCTGCAGGACGAGAACTTCAACAAAGTTTAACCAATCATGAATTAGTTCATCAACGATGTGCCGCACATATACTTAATATTGCTGTACAACATGGCTTGCAGTTAGTATCTTCAGTTATAACAAAAGTTCAAGATTTTGTAATAAAAATTCGAAATTCAACAAAATTTAGTGATTCTTTAAAAAAAATTTACAAACAAGAAAATATAGCTGAATTAAAACCTGATTTGGATGTAGAAACAAGGTGGAACAGCACCTATACAATGCTAAAAAAATTTCTTCAAATACGAGACATATTAGATATTTTTGTTGTTAAAAATAGAGACCTTTCTTCTTTATACTTACAGGATGATGACTAGCTAGTAGTTAATAATATGATCTAATTACTTGAACCAATCTTTATAGCAACCGAAATCTTATCAACCTCAACGTATCCTACTATAAGTGATGTAAGACTAACTATAACTAGTTTGTTGCGACATTTAGATTTATTCATTCAAACTCATACTAATTTAGATGAGTGTATGGTAGCAGAATCAATTAACTTTAAACTTCAAGAATATTGGGAATGTGTCAATGATTCAACAACAATTGGTACTTTACTAGATCCACGATCCAAAACTAAAACTTTTATAGATATAAAACAGTATGAAAATGCTGTAACACTTTTGCATAACCGAATAGAATTATATAAGAACAATACTGATACACAATCTATTCATAATTTATAGACAAGAAAAAATAAACGATCATTTTTCGAATCTTTAATTTCAGAACAAGATTCTGAACAAGTATCTGTTGAGGATGAAATTGTTCAATATCTTTCTTTACCAGTTGATTCTACTACGAATCCATTAGATTGGTGGCGTCATTTTAGTAAAGATTTTCCCACTCTAGCAAAAATGGCATCATGTTATTTAAGTATACAGGGTTCAAGTGTACTTTCAGAACAGGCATTCTCTGTAGCCGCAAATACAATAACCAAAATTCGATATAATTTAAAACCAGATACTGCATGTGCAGCTATGTGTCTTAAAAGCTAGATTCAGCAAGTGCGTGATAAAAAAGAAAAAGAAATTGATATAGAAAATTTTTTTCTTTTAGAATCGTAACTGTTAAAATTTTGCTTAAATTTTTATTTTATTTTTTTTAAAAAACAATATCTTTGTTATATGTAGTGCAATCCAATTTATGCACTAAATAACAATTTTTTTTTTAAATTTTAAATATATTTTTTTATTATTTTATACGTATATAAATAAATAAATAAATATATATATATATATATATGTTGTAATTTTAGTAATTTTAGAATCAACATAAATTGATTCTAAATACACTTAGATTGAATCGAAATTTAAGTAGGAATATTATCCTGCTTAAATCTGCTAGTTCATGTTTTGAAACCTATTTGAACACTGTCAAAACACATATAAATCAGATTTCAAACTCTGTTATTATTAATTATGCATGCCTAAGTATGTTAGCTTGAAACCTGCTATATACAGTACAGTATATGTATAGGTTTATTTTAGTTCAAGTGTATGTTGAGATAACATTGACATTAATGTGGATACAAGATTATATTATTAAAATGTTCAAGTGCATTTTCTTCACCCATCATATATGAAGATAAAAAAATAAAATAATATATTTATAGCAATTAAAACATAATGCTTATTATACATAATATATATTATTAGAAATTAGCTTTTAATTAAAAATAAGAATACGAAAAAATCACGTCATTTACATCATAGAAATTGACTTTTAATTAAAAATAAGAATACAAAAAATTACATCAAGCATTTCTATGATGTAAATGAGAAATCTAATTAAAATCACATGATCAAAGAAACTCGAAATGGGTTTGGGTTTCAAACAGAGTAAGCACTTAACGTTAAAGAAAATACATAAAGTCTATGCATAAGGTAAGGTAGGTATCATGACGTACTTAAGAGTTGCTTATATAAAAATTTCCAAAACAATAGTGTATTTGAAGCCAGATTTACCTAAAAAAAAAGTACTATTTTTTTTAAGCATAGGATCTTTATAAATTTTGAACATAGCGGTTGTGTATTTGGAATATTATGTGTATTATTTGCTGATTTTCAAAACCAGATATTTTTAAGTATACAACTAAAAACTTGTTACTACCTAGAATGGTACTATTTCAGATTTAACTGTAACTTGCTACGTTATCACATGACTTTACAGTCTGTGAAATCATATGATAGTATTAAATACTATCCAAATTCATATCAATATATTTGAATTGAACTGGATACAAAATTAGATACTTGTTGTGGCCTGGGTCAGTGATGCATAGTAATGCAAAATGACTCAGACTCTAAATTTCAAAATAATGCATTATTTCATGCTTATATGATATGGCAAAAAAAGTAGCATATTAAATATTATACGTACATATTCTAGTTGATTTTATCTTATGATATGCAATCCTAATGCACTGTCCCCAATAGTGTTAAAGTATAAATAATATATCAAGAATGGCCTCTTTCAGCGGTTTAGACTTTTTTTAGCAGTGTGTGGTATTGTAATATCGATATTTTTTAACTAAACCAAATAAAGATTCGTATTACTATATTATATACCAATGAAAAAAGCCTGAACTGCTGAAAGAGGCCAATATAAAGAGCTGCGAAGCTAGGTGTGGAAATATTTTGACAAGTCTGATCATAATAATATTTGTATTTGTAATGTATTAAATGACTCAGATAAAAAATGTAATGCATAATTGAAAATTGTAGAGGGGTCAGCTTCAAGCTTAATGTTTCATTTAAGGAGACATCATGGTATTTCGCAGGATAAAACTATATTACATGAACTAGGAGATATGTGATATTATCATAGTGTTTATATTTTCATGTATTGTATGTATGTATATATTTCGCAATGCGCATGTGAATATTCTCGTGAAGCTATTTTTTTATTTTTTTTTTTTTTTTTTAAAAAAAAAAAAAAGTAACAGGTGAAATTAAGTAAAATCGACAATTTATTTATAATTTCTAAATAAATATAATATATTTGAATTTAGATTTCTTCTAAATATTTTTAGAGAAAGTTTTTTTGAAAGTTAACACTTACAATACTAAACTGAAAATTTAAAACTTTATAGTTATAAAAGAATTCATTTCACAGTTGATTATGTTGATATAACTATATGCATTTATATATATGTATATTCTAGTATACTCTGCTACAATAACAATTGCATCGTTGAAGGTAGTATGCTCTTCATGTCATAAGCAAGTAGTAACTGCCTCAAAAATACCTACATCTTTAAAATACTTGAGAACTGACTTATCATATTCTATTATAAATAACCTGTAAATAAAATTATCAATCTATTTTACAGTCTCGAGTATTAAAGCAAATTTATTACTATAGTTTATAGGTATTTTCATAAACTCTGAGATACCTAAAAATTTACTCGTTTTTCAGTGCCTATTTATATTTCTTGTTAAGGTTTATTGGATGACAAAAAAGCCTTTTCCATAAATTTTCGTACAAACTAAATATACCAAACATGTTGAACAAGTTTCAAACGAAAATTTAATAACGTTAAGTGTGTTGACATTTATCTAGGCTAATTTTGTTTGTACCCAAAATTTAAAAGGTATTAGCTAATTGGTAGTGGTTTGATTTTTATTTGACTAATGCATCGTATCGACGCAACAGAATCGGTGCTGTTGATTTGATTAGTGAAAAAAGTAATCAGGGTAATCAGTTAGACGCAAGTTCTATTGTTATTTTTTAAATTTAGGACGCTTTCTAGTAACGTATACATCAATTGACTGTTTAACATCTAGTAATGATAAAATTATCTGTAGAACAAGTATTACATGCAGTACAAAATAGCTCTTATACTGATTATGCCAAAATCACGAACTTATTTGAATCGGACACTAACGCTAAATCATTTAGCGTTTCAGGAATTATAATAATAGAATAATAGCTGTAACCTGGAATATAACCTGGAGTTCATAGGATGATATTCGTCAGATTGGTAGATCTACCTGATAATTAGCCAATTAAAATGCATAATTTTTAAGATTGATCGTTTAGAACTTCACATAGAAAAGTTTGCAAACTAATACATACATACATACACACAAAAAAGAATGCTACATTTTAGAAATAATGTAAATTGATATTTATTACTAATAAATCTATATCAAACTGATCAAAAATTCAATATACTGTAATTAATGAAACAATAATATACATATTATCGATCTACTACTTAACCCAAAGTAATATTTACTACTCTTATATAATTCTATATAATATTCAGAATACGTAAAATATACAGTAAGTATTAGTATAAAACTATTGTTATTATAATATATAGTATGTTAAACAGTATACTCAAAGATCTTTAAGTTTAAAGCTTCCATATAACGTCTCAATCTTCTTTTTTATGTTGTTCATTTTTGGCATTTAAAACTTACATATAGTTAATATAACTAGTACTAGCAAGTATATAATAAAAATATTTGCTTCTAAGGAAAGTATGCGAGGAGTAAGATCTTTTAGAGATTATTTTGCACAGTGAATACTGACGTTACTTCGAAGTTAGAAATAGCTTTTGCGATGATTTTTTATTAGTGAAACGTTATATTCTCAAAAAGTACTTTAAAGTATATAAATAAGTTATCGGGCAATTGATTTGCATCAACCAATCAGACGAATGTTCTTCTATGAACCTGCTAGCAGAATAATAACCCAGAGTATAACCCGGAGTATAATCCGGAGTATAACTTGGAGTATAACCTAGAGCATAACCCGGAGCATAACCTGGAGCATAACCTGGAGTATAACCTGGAGTATAACCTGGAGTATAACCTGGAGCATAACCCAGAGCATAACCCAGAGCATAACCTGGAGCATAACCTGGAGTATAACCCAGAGTATAACCCGGAGTATAACTCGGGTCTGCTCTATATGGAGTAACTCGGGTTATAAGAAATAAATCTGCTCCAGGTTACTATATAATTTTAAAAATCTCAACTCACTCCAACTCTAGACTGGAATATAACCCGGGTTACTCTGGAGTATATTGCTCCATTAACAACCCTATCCTCTACAGTTTGTAATTACATGAAGAGTGTACAACCTGCTACATGTATAACTTTAGTTATTGTCTAATTTAAGTAGTCTGCCATACAGGTAGATCACCTGTCTAGTTCTACACAAGCTGCCATACTTGTAACCTGCTCGTGAGTTACCTATTTAAACACTCTGTTTATCTAACCAATATCAGAATCAACTAACATCACTGTAATACCTAACCGTTTAAGCCAGCTAGCTCGTTGCAGATCTATTTACCTAACTCAGCTTAGATCCTCTCAGGATACGTATTGCTTAAGATATTGTAGCACGCAGAGCTCCAATTAACCTCGTAAGCAATCTTACTAGAGCAGTCTGTACTCATTTTACGAATTCACGTAGATTGGACCCTTGCAGATATTCATACAACCCCAGTTCCTACCGTGGCTCTCCACTAGATTTCTGTGTCTATCTTCTCAGATGTTTCACAAAGCAGATTCTTTCAATTCAGTTAGCTAACAAGCCAAGTTGGTATTACTGATCCTCTCTGTGGAATGAATTTATGCACACCTGACTCGATTAGCATCTTTTGACAATAGTTTTTTTTCTGAATTAAGCATTAGCCAGTGTGACTGTTGAAAGCCGTACTATTTTACCAACTTGGAATTTCTACTATGCAGATCCCCTGCTTGTATATCCTATTAAGATTTATTCGTATAATATTATACTTTCTGAATATTCCGTTACACTTCCAATATCTGAATAATATTAGTGCAATGTGATTTACAGGGTTACAACTCCAGAAATGAAAAGGGTTTACCATAAGTTGGATACAAAAGTCTGAGTAATTATTCAAATTCGTCGACAGTAGAATTTGAACCCCAGACCTCTTGCATAGCAGTCTGGCAACCTAACCACTACACTAAGATCACCAGACCTTGCTTAGCCATTCTTTAATTCTATATTCAAAGATTTGTTTTAGGAGAGTTGATGAGTTTACTGTTTTTTCAATAAT